CCACGGCCGGCGGCCCCTGGGGGAGGGGAGCGGAGGGGCCCGGAGGATGCTCCTCGCTTTCCTCTCCGAGCTGTCTGCAAAGCTCTCCGAGGCAAGGAGATGCCGGTGTCCCTCTGCGCTGCCGGAAAGTGCGGGTGCGGGACGTGTTTGGGGAACACCTTTCTGGCTGCCCGGCTCTGCCTCCCTCCTCCCACCCGGAGTTGCTTTGGCCTCCGCACCGGCGCGTTGTCATGGCAAAGGCAGCGAGCCCCACAGCCCTGGTGGAAGCAGCTTGCGGGAGTCTCGGACTTGGACCTCATGATAAGGTTAGCAGAGGCCCGGGCCCAGAACGGGCAATTAGTTGGGAAATGAGAGACTGGACAAACGGCTGAATATCGCCTATGTTCCTCACCCTGGCCGCTACTGCACCTAGGTAAGGGGCAGAAACAAGCCGCCAGCCATGTTCTTGCCCAGCTTAGCTTTCAAGTGGGCACTGCAGAGCAGCACTTCAGAGTTGTGAAAAATCTCTTCCTACATTCCAGACTAGCAGAAAGCATATCTAGCAGTGAGGCACAGGGAACTGCCGTTGACATCCTGGACTAATGCTAGCACAGATACGGGTGATTATCTATGTATACTTTTTGCAATTGAGGGAATCAGAGAAACCTGTTCAGTATTAGTAAGTTTGAAATGGGAACGTACAGTGCTCTCTGCATCCTGAGGGCACTGGTGAGAATGTAATAGTTCCTCTGGTTATTTACAGTGCCAAGTTTGCTTCCCGAGTTTTAGTGCTGGAAAGGGGCTTTAACTCTGCTTTCCTGACTATGATTCTGTATGAAATAAAATCCACAGTAAGGAACTGTGTGGTCTTCCTTGGGACCAGCTCTCAGGATTCCTTACCTTAAGGTCTGGGTTCAGTGCCCCAGGAGCTGTTCCTCTAACAATCTTCTAAACCACTGCACCGCTGAGATATTTGCACAAAATGGTTGAGGGTCCTGGGCAAACGTTTCCAGGCTGGCCAGCTCCAGGCTTCATTTCCGGCCAAAATATCTCTTGCATCTCTCCCTTGTCTCAGGCCTCAGGCTCCTGTGCACCTGTTTCCCCTCTCCTTGGATCTCTGGACGCCTCAGCTTCCAGTGCACCCAACCCAGTGCCTGCTCCCAGCATTTCCTTCTCCTTTCCTGCTGAAAATATGCCTGAGGTTGCTTGGCTGTTAGATGTTTACATCATTAAGCATCATCGCTGTGAGGGATAAGGCAGAGAAGAGAAACTCAACCCATAGGAAGAGGGGAAAAGTTGTTTCTGACCAGCTTCTGAGATGGTGAGAGGAAGTCATTCAGCATTTCTGAAAACATGTTTTATATCTAAGAGAGGACACTATGACCTTTCCCCTCTGCGCTTTTCCTTTCCCAAATGCCGCTTCTTGAGTCTGTTTAATAAGTGAGCCTTTCCCCTGATTCTAGGGCTGAGTCAAGGGATTTGTGGGGGATCCATATGCTCTGTCCATACTCAGAAGCTGTGTAGACCGATGTGTAGAATGCAAGCCAAGCTTTAACCCAGGCCACCCTATCAGCAAACACTGCGTCCATAGGCTTTGTCCTGTTACACAGATGATTTACTTATTCTCTGCAGATTCCCTCACTTAATCTAGTAGTGACTCATACACGCGGCTGCAAAAATAAATATGCCCCTCCATTGTTCTGTCATACTTTGTGGCACCAAAGGAAAGTTCATATCAACAGCTCAAATGTATTGAGTGCTTTATAAGATATTTTATTTCAAAATCTTTTCACGTGTATTAATTTATTTAACTCTCACAAAACAATCTTACGAGACAGATATTTTTGTAACCCTGTTTTACCAGTGAGGAATGTTTGACGCAAAGAGATCAAGTAACTTTCCAAGGCTTGCTGAGCTGCTAAGTTATGGAGACAAGATTGGAACCCTGGAGACCCGACTCTTAAGTCGGGGCTTTTCAAAGCACTTTTCTATACCATAAAGTAATTCCATTGGTTAATTTTCATGCATTAAATACAAGGTTTTTATGTTATCTTATTTTCATTCTTAGATTACTTTTATGAAGTAGAATACATTATTCGCCATGTTTTATGCATGATGAAACTAAGTGACCCACTCAAGGTTACAGCTAATAAGTGGCAGGGACAGGAGTCAAAGCAGGTCTGTCTGATGACTCTAAAGCCAGAATCCACTCACTCTACCTACAGTCTTCTGTGAGAAATGAAAAAGGCCCTGCGTGTCCATTTCTTTCAGTTCAGTTACCCAGTTGCTCTGGGAGCAGAGTCCTTCTCAGACACAGACACAAGTGTAGCCATGGTTTTTGCCTGCTGGTTGGTAAATGTGGATGGCATGACCGACAGATGCAGAGTCAACCCATGGCCCTTTGAAATAAAATGTTGCATTAGTTCTGCCTCCTTTCTTGAACTAGTTAAATGCCCATAACACCTTTTGAATCTCGAATGTCCTGAAAATAATTGCTCCCTTCATCAGGGATCCCTTTTACTAGAAACTCTTGTACCTTCCTTATCTCCTAGAAAACATGAAAATATATTCTTTTGGGAGCTTGTGAGGGACAATGAACATCTAGGGTTCAATGTTTTTGAGAATTAACTAAGCTTGCTTTAGTTTTCTTCTTTGCAATGTGTAATCCTTAATCAGGTCCATGTTAAAAAAAAATCCCTCTTTGGGGAGTTTTCAGATATCCTGGAGTTGCTTCCTTTGCTTCCTCTGGCACCAGGATGTTGTGGGGAAGCTTGTGTTGTAGAGTAGATGTCACTGCCAGGTGCTAATCTGGAAGGGCCCACAGGTGCGAAGCATTCCCGATACTTTGGGGGATAAAGTCGTAGGTACTGGAGAGGAGGCACACAAATAACTTCCCAGGTGATCACTGAACCCACCAAATTAATGCAAAATTTTATAATTGTGCACACACACAGCTTGAAGGGAAAAACTATGGTATTTGTAACTAAAAGTAGATTAAGAACCACTGGATTGTGTGTATGGTTTAGAAAAGTGTAGAGGACCAGAAGCTATTCTGCTGAACGTGTTGAAGGCAGTGCAAAAACTGTCCTGTCGGGGCCAGCCAAGAAACAAATATTCTTGGCTGTTAGGATATTTCTGCATTTCACTGGATAGCAGGAACGGAAGACTCTGTGCATGGTCAGAGCTTTATTATTTCTGTGCTAATCCATCAAATTATCTCACCATCTCTGCAAGGTAGACATTTTAAAATTATTTCATGATCAAGGAAATGCTTGGAAGAATTCAACCACTTGGCCAAGGCCACTGGAGGGCAGCTAGTAGAGGAGCTGGATTTCACGTGCAGATCAGACTGATTCCAAAGTCTGTTTGTTCTCTTCCTCCCACAGTCCATTGAGTCTCTATCTGTGTGAGTTGCCAAAATGTGTTGTTCAGTGTAGCTTTTTATTGTGGCATCACTGAGAGTCCCACAAGAACATGTGCACATGCTGATAAGAAAAGCCCAAAAGTGTTATCAGAGGGAATGAGAAAATTATACCCCTCTCAGTGAGGCAGAGGATAATCAAGCCCTGCTTTTCTTGACTTGAGATGCAGCCCACTCCTGTGACTCTGACATGTCACCTGGCATCTTGCTGACTAACAGATGCATAGCGGTCCACACCTAACACAGCCCAAATTTAACTGGCCAGGGAGGATACAAGTCAAAACTTGATTCATTGCTCAGATGAATTTACTTCCAGGCTGCTCAGTCTCCTGGGGCTTACCAGACGTGGTGGCTGCATTATGATCCAGGAAGCCCTCTACTGTAGTGGCTGCATTATGATCCAGGAAGCCCTCTACTAACCAGAGGGCCACTGTGCTGTTTTCAGTTCATAGCAATCCTGAAATCATCTCAAGTGGCTTCTCTTGTCTCCAAAATATTATTTACCATTTATCTTTCTTACACTTCTCTGTAACCCCATTATGCTCTTATAAAAGAACTCATGATTTCATTTTTGGCGTACAGAACAGCTAATGCCATCAGGATAGCAAATGCCCAAAGCAGAAACTTCTGTTAGAGTTTTAAAAATGTTTTATTTTTACTAGTGCGTGTTTGTAGGACATAATGCTTACCTTCATCATGGGCATTTGGTGCATGTACATAAGACATCTTCATTCTTTTACACCCGCTTCCCATCTCTTCCCTGCCACCTCTCTCCAT